CTCTCTGGCAAAGCACTTGTGTGGGATCTGAGCAGCATCTTGTCCCTGTGTCCTTGCCCATCCCAGCTTAACCCCGCTCCCTTGGCTTTTCTGTCTCCTGGAGAAGAGCTTTTCCCTCCCGTTTCTCCTCCCAGTAGAGCTGCCAGGACAAGGGACCACCACAAGCATCCCACCCTGTGCCCCCACCATGCCCGCACATCCCTCCGGGATGAGGAGGAGGTGACAATAAAGTCTCTCCTTCACAGCAGCCCGGAAGCGATCTAAAACTCATCCACAGCCCCGTGGGGCAGCACAGGAGCACCCACAAGGGTTTTAGGTCCCATAATTGCGTCCTTCTTGCCCACAGTGCCAGGACAGGGGATGGCAGGTTTCTGTCAGCTGCCGGGATGGAGTTTTGGGGATAACAGATGGTTTGGGGTGCAGCTCGGAGAGCACCACGGCGTGAAAGGGGCTCCCCCAGGTGAGGTACCCTTCTAAAAAGCCATTTACCTCCCGGGCTCCCAGCCCCTCTACTGAACACCTCCCAAGGACACAAAGGCACGCAGCTTGCCAGTTCTCAGCCTGCATCGCCCCAAAACAGCCCGCGGCAGCAACCTCTACCCAGAACCGTCCCACGTCCTTTCGTCCTCAGCCCTTGAACCACCCAGAGCACCTTGGACCACCCAGTTTATCTCCACGGGCAGTGACAAGCCGAGAGACCCCACAGCTCAGGGAAAGCGGAGGGGGAACTGCTGACCTTTGCAGGCTGCACAGAAATACACCCCCCAAACGCAGCATCGAGGGGTGTCCCCCATCCTCCCCCGAAAGCCAGCGGTGCGGCAAACCCGGGCACAGCCCGGTGTTCCCATCTCCCATCCCTGCCGGGACAGGGACCCCAGACCCAGCCCTGGACACCCAGGTCCTCCCGCCGCTCCGGGGGAGCATCCCGGGGTGTTGCCCCTCCATCCATCCCCTACCTTTGCGGAACGGCATGGGGCAGGGAGAGACAGCGCTGCGCTCGGACGCCTGGGTTCTGCGGCTGCGGACGCCTTCTCTTATATATATATGTATATATATATATAAAATATATATATTTCTTCTGTATTTGTATTTTCTTCCTTCCTCCTCCTTCTTCTCTTAGAAGGAAACGGACATATTTGGGCAAAGCCCGGCAGAAACCCGCGTCATTCGGAGGGTGGCACTGCAGAAAGGAGGAAGTTCTTGCAGTTTCAGAGCTTTTAACCCTTCGCTTCCTGGCGTCGGCAGGGCTGGGAGAGAGGTAATAGGGACAGGACAAGGAGGTGATGGCCTGAGAAAGGGATGGAAGGCGCTGGGAACGGGTTTTTGGGTTGGTCTGTGGTGGCTTTTGACTTGGTGGGACCAGTACAGAATTGAGTGTAATGGATGTGAGTGTGATAATGGAGTTTTAGGCTCCTGCATCACTTCTGCCGATTTCTGTGCTCAGCAGAGCACTGATCCCATCTTCTTTGAGGTGGTACTGGAAGAAGCCGAGAAAACTCAACTGCTTTCAAAACAAGGGTTACCAGAAACTCAGATTCCCCTGTTTAGCATCTCCTGTCTGCCCATGTGCAGGCTGGACCACTCGAGGCAGGTGGAAGTTCAGATCCTGCTGTTCTAACCCCCATGCTGAGGATGTGCAAATCCCTCTCTCCTGGGACAGTGGGGCTGGGATGAGTCATGGGCTGAGCCCAGATTTTGGAGCACCACTGGGGAGTGTTATCACCTGGGACAGTTGTTCATTTTTACTGTGGTGCCTTTACTGCCCTCACTGGAGGCAGAAAGAGGCATTGGCTTGGAGCTAGCTCAAGAGAAACTCTTTGAACTGTGCGTGACTGGACTCCAACCTTTCATCTTGGTGGTTAACAGTGATACCACAAGCTCCTTGCTGTGTCTGTGCTCCCTGCAAAACTGTTTTCCCCTCCTGGAGTCACCAAGACTTTCCTCAAACCATTCCTGTGGTGTTCTAAAGCCTTCCTGCTCATCTTCTGCAGGTTCCAGCTTGGGGAGTGATGTCCACTGCACATGGAAATATTCCTGAGCCCCAGCACCCTCTGGGGGAAAAAAGTAGAGAAGATTTTGTGGAATGGGCTGCTGGGCTTCCTTCCAGCAACTGGAACCAGTTACAGCAGCTGGGGTTTTTTCCCTGCCCCCACAGACATGGTTGGACAGGCTGGAGTTGCGCCTCTGCCCAAGCAACTTGAGCAGGCGACCATTTTCTTGGGTAAAAATCATCCAAAAATGGAATTTCCCAGGACATTTAGTAAGCTTAAATGGCCACAGGCTGGGAAAGTTTAAGGCAGGTGGGCTGGACATCCACGTGCTGCTGCCACACAGCCCAGAAGGTAAAGGAGATCCCTTCTTCACTCCAAGAGGTCCAATATCCAGGCAGAAGGGAAGGACACCCCAGCCATGCCCAAGGCCAGGGCAGCATGACCCAGGAGCTCTGCTGGTTCACCCTGACTCTAACCTTGCCCTTTGCTTTGGCAATTGAGTGATATTCCTTGGAGGGATGAGCTTTCAAATCCCTATAAAACACAAACCCAGATTTTTACAGTTTTATTACCCAGTATAAATGAGGATTAGCAGTTCATCTCCAGGAGAGTATTTCCAGCACATGATTCCAAGGCTTGGCAAAAGAAACATAATGAAAAATACTCAGGGTTAGACCCAATAATGAACTTGAGTGTCTTGTCCACCAAAATACACGTTTGGATGCTCATGTCCAAGTTTGTTGTCCCTAATATTCTGCTCAGTGCCTGCACAGCTCAGAAGGGGCTTTCCTCGGGTGGTTTTTCTTTTGCAGCACTGATCTTGCCTGGACAGTCACTTCAGCTCCAAAACCTTCCCAGTAGGAGCATTTCAAAGCCTTGTAGGTGTGACCAGGTCCTTCAATAGAGGATGATGGATCAGATCCCCATTAAGGTGGTTCTGTCAGGTGGTCCCTGCCCTTGGATTTGCTCCAGTCGTTCTGTGCATTGGCCCAGAAAGATCTCAGGTGGAACAATCTTTGGTGTCCAAACATCAGCTTAGCATTTTCCCTACGGGGAAAATTCCAGAAATCAGCTTCCAAGCTCCAGCCAAGGCCATCACAGGAATCAGAGCACTTTGTTGCCTCATTCTCTGTCTTAGATACTACTGTTTTTCACCCACAGAAAGCACCTCAGGCATCTCAGTGGTGCCAAGCAGCTTAAATAAACAGAGAAGACTTCAAACATAGTCTGGGTACTTCTGGTGGATGAGGATCTCACCCCTTACTCGCTATTCAACAGCTTTTCTGTCTGGGATCTAAAAAGAACAACATAAAATAATAATGATAATTAAAAAATTGCTGGGAATCAGGCTGGTCCCAAAAGAAGGTTTAGATTAAACTAAACAAACTATGGTCCAGGACAGTGAAATCAGGGCATCTCCTCTTGGCAGAGCATGAATGCCAGGCTGCACAGTCAGAGAGGGTGGCAGTGGCTCAGCATCACTTGAGGTTTTCAGAGCAGGTTGGGCAAATGTGGTGGGAAAGGTCTCAGCCAGCACTGATCATACCCTGGGGCCGAGGGATAGTCCAGATGCTTCTGGAGATCTTCCCAAGTGCTGGTTTCCATGGGAGAGGCACTCAGACTCGATATTTGCCAGCACCTTTCCCAAATGTGTCCTGTAAGAAGCTGTCTCTGAAGGAAATAAAAGCATCATTTAATGACTATTAGTATTTTAGGGGGGTTGTTCAGTTAGAACTGACACAGCAAAGGCTCCTTTTGCCTGTCTCCCCAGGCCTAAACCCATATTTTGTAGAAACACAGAATGGTTTGCGTTGGAATGGATCTTAAACCCCCCTGCCACAGGTAGGGACACCTTCCACTATCCCAGGTTGCTCCAAGCCCCATCCAACCTGGCCTTGGACACTTCCAGGGATGGGGCAGCCACAGGTCTTCTGGGAAACCTCTGCCAGTGTCTCACCACCCTCACAAGGAAGAATTTCTTCCCAATATACCTTCTAACCCTGGCCTCTGGCAGTTTGAAGCCATTCCCCCTTGTCCTATCCCTCTATCTCGTCCCCAGTCCCTCTCCAGCTCTCTTAGAGCCCCTTTAGGCACTGGAAGGAGCTCTCAGGTCTCCCTGGAGCGTTCTCTTCTCCAGGTGAACTCCCCCCAGCTCTCCCAGCCTGGCTCCAGAGCAGGGGAGCTCCAGCTGAGATGCAGTGACTGCAGCCCTCAGCTTCATCCTTAACCCCAGAAAAACCCTCCTTGGCCAAGATGCAGCTGGAGATTGGACTGGCCTTCCCCACCCTGCACCAGATCCAGAGGGATGCACAACCAGGCTTTGCATCAAGTGGCACAGAGATGAGCTCAGCTGCTCAGCATTTCTGCACATACCCGAGGGAAGCTGAGACATCCTTACCTATATAGGGAATGATTGATCTTTGTATCAGTGATTGCCCAGCCAGGAAATCAGTACTGACTGTCCTCCCTTTCCAGTCAGTTGGATAATGGGTGGGAGCAGTCTGGGAGACGGGAATGTCAGTGCTTTTCCTGGGCTGGGGCCACGCAGTCATTTCAGCTGAGAATCAGTCACAGGGATCTCCTTCAATGCAGGGGTTGTACTCTAGAAGCAAATAAGAACACAAACAGCTCCTTTGAAATATTTATAACACTTTGGATGGCTTCTGTGGCACAAACCCAAGAAAGAAGAAGGTCCTTGTAATTGCTGGGACATGCTTACACTGATTGATCTGCCTTGCATAATCCTATTTTGCCCTTTTACAGGATGTTTGAGTGCTCAGGCAGGCTGAGAGTTGCTCTTGTACAACTTGCCAGCCCCCAAGGTGGCATTTCAGTGACCAGGCACTGGCAATCGCGCTTCTGTTTCCAGCCCATGCCCACATTTCAGAGTGTTTGCTATTTTTCCCGTGCTGCAGCAGCTAGAGACATCTGGTTGACAAGGTGGTGTTAGGTCATAGGTTAGACTCGATGATCTCAGAGGTCTTTTCCCACCCAGTTGATCCTGTGTGATTCTGTGCATGGTGCCCAGCTCCTCTTCCCACAGCGAGCTCTCCCGTGTTGATCACCAACCCGATTCTTCAGCCCTGCAAATTTAGCAGAAGAGAAAGTTGCAGAGAGGCTCATGGTCCCTCACTAGCAATGGAAATGCTGTTTGGGAGGACAGACAGCACAAACAGGTCATTGGGGCTTAAGATGCAGCAGGGACTGGGAACAATAAGCTTTTGGAGACTTTGCAGCCAAACTCCCCCCTCTCCCCATACACTAAAACCTGACCTTGAGAGATTACTTTTATTAACCTCTGGTATTAGAGCTGCCCCCTTCATATCTCAAAGATTAAGTGCTCTATAAAGGTGTGGGGATGAGATTGGATTAGAAAGATACAGGTCAAAGACTTAGGACAAGGGGGAATGGCTTTAAACTGATAGAGGACAAGGTTAGACTAGAGATTAGGAAGAAATTCTTCACTCTGAGGTGAGACACCGGCACAGGTTGCCCAGAGAAGCTGTGGATGCCTCATCCCTGGAAGTGTTGAAAGCCAGGTTGGATAAGGCTTGGAGCAACCTGCTCTTGTGGAAGGTGTCCCTGCAGGGGATTGGAACTAGATGGTCTTTAAGGTCATCATCCAGCCCAAACCATTCCATGATTCTGTGACCAGGTATTTTTTATGCCTTGCACAGCTCGGGATCCTGGTCTCTTGTTTTACACATTTATCAGCTTTTGGGTTTTGGAGAGGAAGGAGGAACTGGACAGCACTTCCCAGGAGTGATCTGCAGGTAGTAATCACTGCAGCTGTCAGGTACAAACTCTCACGGCTTTTCTGCAGCTGACAGCTCCAGCAGGTTTCTAATGTGATTTTGCTCTTCCCACACAGGAAACTCACTCTCCCTTCTCCATTGATTTCCATGGCTTTGAACTGCTACCACACACCCAACCTGGCACTGAAGAGGAAATGTCACATTTGAAGAAACATCTGCATTCTTCTTCTGATGCATCCAGGGTGACAAATAATCAGTTCTCCTTCACACACTCCAGGTTTGCTGAGGCAAACCCTTGCCTTGGAGTTAAACCTCTCCCCCCCTTTTTTTTTTTAATCAGAAAAAAGAAAAAAGTATGTATTGATTTTATGATGCCAACATCATTATTTTTTACTATAAAAGCTGATAGCAGCCTCAAGTTTCCAGGCTTTTGTATTCCCCAACACTGCAGGAAAAACAAAAACCATCAGGCTTTTGCCCATGAATAAATCAACCTGCTGGATAGAGATAAAATGAAGTGAAACACTTCTAAATGATCAGGTAGAAATCCAAGTGAAGAAAGGGGAGGAAATACATGACTAGCATTGTGATAGCTGAAGATATTTTCAAAACTTACCTGATTTCCCTATTAGCTGTAAATTCCTGACTTCCTTGGAAGAGCTGAGCCCTGGCAGGAAAATATGATACTTCTGGGACAGCACCTGTGGATGCAACTGTTGTGTGGGATGATGTGCAGAGCCATGACTGGTGTGGTGCAGGGAGAAGGGCTGGTTGCTCAGTCCTGGGCCTTCCTCTGAAATTTGTGCTTGAAGCAAATCCTCAAATCCCACTTCTAAATTTTGCTTTAAGTCTTTAAATTTTGCTGGGCAAGTGCATCGCCCCCCCCCCCGCCTCCAACAAAGAGGGAAGACAAGTTACTGAGAATTGCTCCAGCCCATATCCTCTCCCAGTGATTACTCTGCACCACTACAACTGCACAAAGCCGGCACTTTCCCAAAATGGAAAAACACAAAACCTCACTGGTTTTCCCTTCCCATCCGCCCAAGAGGAGCAGGTGCTGGAGGAGAGGAGCCTGGTGTGTTTTGCTAAAGTATCATTTGAGTTTTAGTTCACAGTTGCTATACGAGTTTTACAAGTTCAAAGCAGGGAAGTCCAAAAATGCTACCCAGCTTTCTGCCTGGGGCAAAAGGTGGAGAAATCCACGATGAGATGAAGACCTTTGTCTTGGCAGGACCACGTGGATTCCTGAGCTGTTGACTTGCTGCAAGCTCCCAAATGGAGGCCAGAGATCACACCTCAGAGACTGGGAGAGGGAAAACGACTCAGGGGCTATGAAGTGGCAAAGATGCTTAAAGACTGCTTTGGCAAAAAAAAACCCACACTCTTCCTAGGGGAGGAATAAGAAGCAGGAGAGAAGAAAGGAATGGGAAGGCATCTTCCTGGGAAAGATCTTGTTTTCCATACAGTTGATGTTGTCTTGGGTTTTAAGAATGGGCTGCAGACTGTTGGGATATGGGGAGGAGCACCAGCCTTCAGGCTCCCCAGGCAAGGCAGTGGGATGTCCTGCACAGCCCAGTGGGAGCAGGACATTGGTCCCCTGTCCCCTGCTGCCCACAGCTCCAGGGCTGAGAGCCTGGGGAGTGGTAACACTGTCTGGACATAAGACATAAGGCTGTGCTCTTATATTTCTATACTAACTAGAACTAAACGCAGGACGAATCCTCGTGCTTCGGGATTTCCCCAGTTCCTGATGCTAAAAGGAAAGGAAAAGCCATAAAGCTGCAATTATGAGCTCTGCAGGGATCAGAAATCAGAGAGAGCAGGTATGAGAGGAAACATCTGCAGGAGTATACAGGCTATCCCTTCTCCAATAAATGCAATGTTACCTTTGGCTTTCATGTCCGTTCTTCCACCGCAGCTTTTCCACCTCAATGTCCAATTCCCCCCCCCCCCGCCATTCAAGTAGAACTTTGCTCACTGAAATGGAAAGCTGTGTTTGCACCTGTGCACAGAAAGCCACCAGCAAAGACCCAGACCCACCTGACACAGACAGCAAGATCCCTAAAGGAGTACAGCTCACAATGGGATCACATTGGTATTTACTGTCAGCTACTGCACAGCTCTGGGTAAGTTACCAAACACAGGCACACGGACAGGGACTTTATCATCCATTTTTCTCTCTTGAGGAACATAAGTGGAAGATTTTAGGTTTGCCCAGCTTTTATTCCAGCAAAGTCCTGCAGACTTTACAGTTATTTTTCTTTCTCCTTGCCACTAACTAGACACAAAAGTACTTTTGCAGTAAATAAGAGGTAAAATCATGCTGGACATTCAAGGCAAGTGGGCACATCTATCCCACTGACCTGCTGAAAAAGAAAGGCAACCTCACCAACCTAAACATTCATTTAGAAAAAGTTTCAGAGTTCATAGATCCTTTGGTGAGTTGGAGAAAGGAGCAGCTACCTGTTTGTTACTCCTGACACAAGGCATGAATACCTATCATTACATCTAGGGCTGCCCAAGGGTTAAAGGCTCTGGAGCTGGCTGGTGTTATGAGCAACTCATATAATTGCCAAGTTTTGCATCCCTAAAAAAAAAGTCCTGTCATCCTTTCTGAGTCAGGGAATGACACTGAAGCCCTTTGAGGAAGAGGTCCATTTCTGAGCAAGCTGGTCTAGTGGAAGGTGTCTTTGCTCAGGGCAGGGAGTTGAAACAAGATGGTCCCTACAGTCCCTTCCAGTCCAAACTATTCAACGATTTTATGATTCAGAACAAGGCAAAGCAGGTGAATTTATCCACTAAACTACACCACAGGTGAAAAACATTTGCCTGAAGTGCAGTTTTAGGCCAAAGTGGGACAGAGATGAGGTTCACACATTAAACACACAGTCAAAGGTCATGTGTCCTGCCAGGAGCTGCCTGACCATCTCTGGCTGGGCTTCAGAAACCCCTTCTACAGCCATAACCAGAAGCCAGTGGTGCTGTGTGAGGATAAACCAAAGTGATGGGATGATAAAGGCACTGGGATGGCTCTTTAACTGCCTTGCAGCTTCAACAAAATCACAGCATCACAAGGCAAGAGGGAAGTCCTTTATTAGAAGTCCTGTCCAAAGTCCTGCCTACATGACACATCAAAAAAAATTCTCAAGCCCAGGCACTAATCTCAAATCCATCTATGAAAAGCCACCTCTCCACAAATCAGCATAGCTGAAAGCCAAATCTCCTGGCTGTATCCTCTCACTGCTCAGCAGCAGTAAATTAACAGACAGCACACACTGCCAACACAGTCAATCCCTACTCCTCTTTAAGGACAACTGCCTCATCACTTAAAGGAAGGAATTCTCCTAAGGACTCAATCATGACCACACTGTGCTGCAGTTACTGGTACAGAAAGTGCTTATGAAAAAAAAAAATCATCCATGATCACAAATAGTTCCTGCTTTATTGGGAAAAGGAGTAGGGTTAGTCTTGTACCCCATCAGGAACATGCTATCAATGCCAGATGCAACCCTACACAGCCCTCAGCTGCATGGATACTCCAGAGGGTTGCGCTGCCAGAGAGGTGCCTGGACAGGTTGGGAAGCAGCTGGAGCTCAATGAGAAGTGCCAAGTCCTGTACCTAGGGAGGAACAACGCCAGGGACGAACATGGGGTTTGATTTAAAGCAACTCAGGACGATCTGAGTCTTGCTCAGGGCTTCTTGCACCAATTACTGTTATGGACAAAGTAGTCACTCCCTCATTAGACTTCTGCTTGTGGAGCAAGAAAGATTTGAGAGGTTTAAGAACCTCTTTGAAAACTTCCATGTTTGTCCTTCTACCTTTTAAGGAAACTATGTACTTACTTTCTCCTGCAGACAAGGGTGAACACACCCTGACACACTCAAACCTACCACAGGAGCTTGGTTTCAGATAAACCCCTCCTAAAGCAAGCACTTACCCAGACTGCAGCACACAAATTACAACTCCTCCTGAATTTCCTTTAGAATTTAAAGTTCAAGGATATTTCTGTTGTCAAAATAAAAAAGCAGCACCACAAGGAATGTGGTTTTTGGCTGCACAGTTGCGAGGACAGGGCGATAGGGTGTAATCCCAACTCTCCAAAACACCTTCTGCACATCCTTGGGCAAGACACTTGTACCTCCCTCTGTGTTCAGACAGCAAGTTCTTTGGGGCAACAGCTCTCACCTTCCACGTAACAGTGGCAAAGCAAGCTTAGATTTTGACAGTAGTGTTAAAAATGGTCCCTGTGAGCTCCAGCTCATCAGATTTTAGTCTGATATGGAGGAGGCAAGTGATAAACAGACAGAAATTCAGCTTAGGTTAAGCACATAATAAAATAAATCATAACCTGTGTGCTAAATGATGGGCTCTGAAATAGCTGCTACCGCTCAGGAACGCCTTGGGGTTGCAGCAATTAGGGAATCAATGAAGTCACTAAATCCCTGCTGTTAAAATAGCAGCCAGTGTTCTCAATTAGGAAGAGAACAAGGCAGAGAAGGGTGATGCCACAATGCAAATCCCTCCTCTTAAGACCTCAGGGTTGCTAATGAACCAGGCACCCCATTCAGCCCCGGGCTGACACGTCCCACACATCCCTGTCAGCTTCCTGTTCCCTTCAGGACACTGTCAAACATCTCTAAGAAGGCACCTGATCCAGATTCTCCTAAGTAATGAACAGTTCATACTTAGCCCAAGAGAAGGTGCAGTTATTCAGCACGTTAGAGAATCACAGCACTTGCAGAGGCACTTAATTAAAGCTCAACCTTAGTAAATCATACCTGAAAAACATCCAACGCTTCAGCTGAAATAGAATAACCAACCCTGCACTGCCAATAAGGCAAATGCTCTTAACAGCCCACCACCCTCTTGGTTTCCTGTAAAATCAGAACCTTCTAAGGCACCACACAAAAAGAGGTAACAAAAGTCTTATTGCTTAAGACCAGAGTCACCAGCACGTACCTTACAGAAAGAGGTGGCTGCACAATTTCCAGGATGCAAAGACAACCATCCAAGCAAAACTTGGTGGCTGCAAAAAGACTCCAAATTAAGTGCTGCTGAGCCTTTTGAAAGGGCACTGATGAATCATAGAGGAGGAAAATGGATGTGTAAGCAGGGAGAGCTGGAGGTGTTAGATAAAAAGTCATATGAGAAACTCCTCAAAATAGAAGTCAGTAACAAGATTCCAGAGGAGCCCTAATTCTCCAGCAGAGAAATAAATTCAGAAGCAAACTTTTCAAGGCATGCAGGATACAGCCATGCCTGAGGAAGTGCGAGCCAACACAACAGCAGCACTGAAGAACAGGGAGTATGAACATTTGCAAAAAAAATGCTTTCTGCTAAGTGGATTATCTGTGACAAGTGAGACCTTAACCAACCTCAGTGTGTCTGAACCTTTGCAGGTCTCCACACCTGTGCATTTGTTTGCATTGGCTGTGGCAGCACCACAAGGCCACCTGGCTCCAGTGCTGTGTCTTTGCACAGCACCCACCACAGAGATGAAACTCAGGTGCTGTAGCCCCTGCTACCACTTTAGCAGGCTTGCTTGTGCTGTTTCAGTGATCCCATCGTACAGAAAAACTATTTATAGCATCAATCTCCTACACAAAACACTAAATGAACAAACGCTCTCCCTTACGTGTTCATGGATAAATGTTACCCTTGTCTTCAACCACAATACAGATTTTTGGAACAAAATGATTCAAAAGCTGCCAATGAAGTGATTCTCAGCAAATGGAAAACCTCCAAGTTATCAGACTGGAAGCCCAAAAGCTGGTATTAAACAGCAAAACAGCTGGTTAAAGACACAAAAATTAGTGTGTGCACCTCAGGAAATGCTTACAGCCAGTCACCCAAAGGTATTTGCTGAAACAGGACCCGTAAATAAATCTTGCTTAAAGCCAAGTTGTATTTCAAGCCAATCATTTCAGATCACACTAAATGTGCTATGACTGCTTAATTCTTTACAGCAGCCACCCAAATTACCTGACTCCTATAAGCAAATCTATGCTAATTCATATCAGGTTGATCTCTTTGTTTTACTACGTAGCAGCAAAGGCCATAAAGTGTTGCTCAAGGTCAAAGCCCAAACTAAGAGCGGTAGAATCTGTTATTGCCCCAAGTCCTGTGGTTTGGGTGTCAGTCAGGCCTGTTCCTCACCTCTGCTCAGGAGGGTTCCTGGGGGTGGATTCAAGCCTGACTCTGTGGGAAAGCCTTATGCAGCAAGAGAGCAGAGTAAGGAAGCCCAACACACAGCAGGTAAAATACAAGGGTTTTTTTAAAAATTCTGTTTTACAAGCAGATGTTTGTACAGAGGTTGGTGGGGACACAAGCGGACAAAATAAGCCGAACACAAGATCAAGGGTTTGTCATCGGGAGCTGCAGCCAAAAATTCATAAAAGGGCAGCAACTGGAGATATTCACAGCGTTGAACTAAAGGTCTACACACCCTCCCCCCAAAACATGAGTGTAACAGGAAGAAGACACCCAGCATCAGCTTTCAAACAGCTAAATTGCCTTCAGAGCTCACAATCATTTCAGCATCTGCACAATCCTGGGTGCAAGGGGGCACAGAGACAGCTGCCACCATTGCAGAGCCACCTCTTGCCAACTCTTTTGTCACATGCTGTTCCCAAAAGAAAAGCAAACGTAAAACACCAGAGAGCTGTGTAGTATTTTTACATCAAGTTAAAAATGAAAGAGTTGTAGTGTTTAGTAGTTCCGTTTGTCAGCTCTTCAGATTTTCACACGAGAACTTCCCTCCATGGCCTCCTACTCTGAAAACTTCCACAGGCACTCAAAAAAAAAAAAAAAAAAGAATAGAAAAAACAAAAAGAGGTCTAATCCTGATGGTATTTGACCTCAAATATAGAAATATACACAGAGAGAGCAAATGCCAGGTTTGAAATGATTAAACAAAGTTAGTTACCTATGTGTGATGTTGGAGGATGTGAGAATCTGATGCCTGGCTAGATACAGGAATGAGTGTCCCTCAGTTCTACCTACAGCATTTCACTAAGGGCCAGTAATCAGCTGTCCCTGGGTATTTCCAGGACAGACTGCCTGCCAGCACTCCATTAAATTCCTTCCTCCTTCTTTTTAAACATGGATTTTCTTTGGATCTGGGAAGACAGACAAACTCATTCCTTGTTGCTTTAGTCTCCATCCTGGCATAGAAAGTATTGTCCTGGAGTCAGGAGAACAAACTGCCAACTGTCCAAAGAGCCCAAACCACTGAGTGCAGAGATGAGGACTTAGGAGAGCAAGGTTCTAACTCTAAAGAGCTACCACCAGGGGAGAGAAGCATCACAGCACGTAGTCCTTGTCCAAAGCTTCCCACTTATCGTGGATGCAGCACAGGGACTCCATGACGAAGCACCAGAACAGGGAAAGCAGGAATACAGACAAAGCATCTCCTCAGCAGTGGGTTTTCCAAAGAACAAAGTCATCTGAAAGCGTGACAAAACCCAGGATCCCCAGAGCAGTAAGCAGAAATGTGCCAGTCAAAACCACACAGATGTGAATCTTTCAAAGGGCTTTATATTACAAAAAAAACATAAGTCACAACGAATGTGAAAAATCCATTCAATGAGGCTTGTTTCCAGTTTGCTGGGAAAGCTACTTTTCTCTTCTTCATTCCCAGCCTACTGCTGAAAACGTGATTGCCAAAACAGTGACACCTCGAGCCAGATTTTTAAAATCAAACTTGCTCCGCCAGATCCAGCACTCTGAACTTGTCCAGGTTGTAGAAACAAGCCTTCACGACTCTGCCTCCAAAATACCTTCCATTCAGATCCACAACAGCTGGAATTGAAACCAAGAGCAGGTCAGCAAAGCAGCGATTCAATAAAGTAAACACCTCTTTAACTGAACAGTCTAATCAGTGAGACTGTTTAATCTCTCTACCAAAGGTTACTCTGAGGGTCACAGGATACAGTTTAGGATCCCACCTTTGATGGCAGATTCAACCCGTTCAAACTCTAGAAATATTCTTACAGCTTCGTCATCAGGGGCACCAGGGATCTGAAACAGAACAAAAGCCCCAAACCAGAAGTGATTAGAACAGTAGCAAGCCCACTCTTTTAAAGTGCTGTTCTTCACAAAAGTAGTCAAGGGAACAAAACAAAAAGGTTCCAAAAGCACAGCACCCAGAGATTTTTGCCCAGATTCTGACACTGGAAGTTTGTATCTTACAGATATGGAAAATCCAGAATCCCAACACACTGAAGGACCCTGAGAGATCTTTTATCTATGTCCCTTCTCTTAGGCAGTAACACATCATTTGCGAGGGACAAGGTCTCAGTTTTACTTTCAGAGCAGCCAAAAAGACTCTCTCTTACCTCAAAGATGACACATTTCCCAACCTTGCCATACTTCTCACATTCCTCCTTCGTTTCAACTTCAAGATCTTCATCCACCTCCCCAGCACCCACCATGTTCTGAAAGTTAAAAGAATAAACCCAAGTCACTGGGTGGAGTCTGCACAGATGGTTGTATAGATAAATCAGAGATGCCCTGTGAACTGTGACCATGGATTCCTTAAAAACTCAAGAGCCACAGCAGGAATGTACAAGGGAACTGCACAATTTAAAGCAGTGTTGACTTAAAATACACATCTCAGGAAGACATGTATTTTCTCCAGAACACAAAGCACCACGTCTGTGTAGGCCAGAACCATTTGAACTAGGCAGAGTCTTGTAAGGGGAACACAAGTTTAAACATTTCAACACCAAGACACGTTCTCTGACTCCCAACTTACCCTTAGTAAGACCACTTTAGTTGGGCATTTCAGTATCTCAGTCAGTGGGTTGGAATCCGCTTTCTTGCCTGTTTCTGTTATGAAGACAGAGTAGTTAATTGTGGGTAATATAAGATTAAAGCTCTACTGGGGACTTTTATCAGAATCTTATTGATTGAAAAATGGAATAAAAGTCACAAAATGTAGTTTCGTACTATTGAGGAACAGTTATTTGCACCTTGTAGCTACTTGGAAGGACAATACGCAGAAAAATCAATTCCAATTATGTGAATTAAGCCAGAACACTGACAATGTACTGACAATGTACTGCTTCTTTGGGGGAAACAATTCACAAGTTCAGAATTGCATCAGACTCCCTCAGAACTAAAAATCAGCTCTCCTGACTTCCAACACTTGTGCTCAGGCAGAGGTGTTGTGGGCAGGGCGAGCTAAAAAAAAGTATACAGGACTTCACAAGATGAAGAAGATGATTTCCACAAGAACCAATATGAGCCATTCTTTCAGCTTCTGTATTTTCTCCAAGGACAGATGGTAAACAAAAATCCAGAAGCTTCATTTCTCACAGACTTGTTGTAGGACACAATTACCTTTCTCTGTAGACTCGCCAACAATGATCTTGCCACCCCTCTTGCTCGTTTTCTCTACTGACAGTGCTGTGCTGAGCCCCTGTTCATGCTTTCCCAGGCCCTGGCCCTCTCTGAAACCATACTTCTGCATGATTTTGTGAGCTACTGTCCCCCTGCAAAGAGAAAAAACATCAGTTAATAAAGGCTTCTTCCACAAAACATTAGCACTGCATTACTCCCGAGTGCCCAGATTTTCTAACTTCTAAAATTTCCTTACTCAGAGACAGAAAACACAAGAGCTTCTACAATTTACAACCTACTATCTGTTAATTCCAAGTTGGTGTAAGCTCCAGAGGACAAGACCTTGCTAGCCCTTCCTACAACAAATCTGGATATCCTCAGTATTATTTTAAACATGTCTAATTTTTCTGAATTTTCCAGGACACAAAAAACATGCCATGGTGTAAGTAGTTTAAACCACAGTAAATATTCTATGCTCAGTCACCCCCATTTTATCAATGGGCAAACAAAGAAACAGAGGAAATGCAGGATCAGTGACTACATGATCATTTCCTAAGCATAGTACAAGAAACACACATTATAAAAGGCCAAGAAGTCTGGCTGTGTAATGCTGAAAGATTAAACCACCAAGTCACTGAATGAACAGACAATTGGTCAGGTTAGGTCAGATTTTTTAGCCCTTCCTTCAGTGAAATGAAGGTCCCAGGGTACTGCTAACTAGAGGTGGTAAAGATGCACAAACTGGTTCAACAGTTGTCCTTTTTTTTGGACAATTAGAAGAAAAACAAACCCAAAACTGAGGTGTTTAAGCTGTTTTTAACTATAGATTCATCTTCATTTTGTTGCCACAGTAGGAATATAAGCATTGCCCACAAGGCAGAAAAGTAAATGGGCAGGTTTGCAGCCACAGCTGTTACATTCATGCAAATATGCTCTGAATTTATGAACAAGCAAAGCAGAGCTGAAATGATTTGCCCACTGGTATGTAGCAAATTTAAGACAAAGATGGAAAAGAAATCTAGAGGAACTAACATGCCACCTGTGTTTTCCTGTATACTCCATTAGCTTGGCTTGTACAGGCCATAAACACTTTAAACTGGAATGTGGCTTCAGGGACACACTAAAAACACAGCCTGGAGTGCAACCACCTCAGATGTGTTTCCCTCAATCCACTGTTTTTTCCTGTATCCTGCCAGTTTGGACTCTGCACTCAAGAGTAACCACACATATGCATGGGCTGTGTTCTTCTCCACTGACAAACTATTTTAGCTTTTGGTTTCAGCCACCTTCCAACGCCTTTCTCCACAAAATGTGCAGCAGTCAGTCATTTACCCCATGTTAGCAAGGAAGGAGTTGCTGGGTCCCGTGGGGGAACGAGGCCTCTCTGGCTCATCATACACTGGAGGAGGAATTGCTGCTTTGGAAGATGGTGCCCGAGGTCTGGACTCCTCTTCATACGGGAATGATGCTACAGCTGAAGAAAACAAACAATTTGCTTTTTCAATAAAATCCCAACAAACTATGAATAAAAGCCTCTCACATAAATCCAAATCAGAATGTTTTCTTTGCATGTGTTGTTTTAATATCCTGTCACCTCTCTCTCTCTCTCTCTCTCTTAGAAACAAGATCTGAGTTATTCTGGTTTTCCTATGGATATAAATATCCATTACTCTAAAATGTATTTATTAAACTTTTATTAAATGGAGAAAAGAAGCACTAAGAGGCCACCTGGACTACAGTGAGTTTATCCAGGCAGAGGCCAAGCAAAACTGAGAAGCTCCATTCATGAGGAACAGAATTATGACAAAATTGGATCAATGCACACAGCTCCAGGCCCAAGGATTGTGAGTAAAAATACACTTTACATTTACACAGAAGAGAAACCAGTCTATTAAAAAGAATGAATGCAACCCATCTGACTGAGAATTTCTGAACTGCAACTCTTCCTGGGGGAATGGGAGATATGCCTGGATATCTCAGTCATAGTGGTTAGATTAGTAAACTACCTTCCACTGACAGGCCTAATGGAAAAACGTAAAAAAAACAGCCTACAGAACACCAAATAAAATATGTAGAAACACTTTAGAAAAGTCTTAAGGACTTCTACTAGATTGACTCCATTTTATAATATTTTCTTGTGAAGTTATCAATTTTTTTTGGATCTTATCAAATAAAAGGTCAGACGCGAAGTCTGGGGACGTCACATAAGGAAAAAAAATAGTGTTTGAGGAGGAGATGGATTGGACTTTCGGATTCCTGGTACAGAAATAACTTCTCATGTTTTTCCAGCCTAGATTTAAGCATCAAGTAAGAAGGCACACAGAGCGTTCCTTGTGGGACCATGTCACATTTTAAAATCTCTCCCCCTCAGCCTATTTGTACCATTTCCAGCCTGTATTTACTTTTCACTTAACTACCCTTAATTATTTACTCAAAACATTCTCTTTCTGTTTTTAATGTTTACACAGTCAAATGCTTTCACTATTATATTACTCACTTAAGCTTTTTTTTTTTTTTTACATTCCAGTCTTCTCATAAACAAACTGAGGACTGCCAAAGGAAAGTTTCTGTGACTAGGATTCTTTTTTCTTATTATTTTTTAAAGCAGACAACATACTGCTAATCATTTTAATTTTAAAGTACACAACAGTTAAGACATGGGAAAAATAAAAAGGGAATGGTTTTGTTCCTATGGCAAGATGATGCCACCTCGTGGACAACTGTAATCTCCACTGAGGGAAACACCAGTGCACACACATCTCTTCAGCTGAGCTGTACCCCCGAAAAACTTACATAATTCTGTCTGTAGTGCATAATCCCTTCAGAAAAAATGCTCACAAAGTATCTCCTAAAGCAAAGGGCAATGGAAAAATTCCCTCTCCACGCTGTGGAGGTTTCTAGTCTACCCAGAGACATTTCTTTTTTCACATCAGAAGTTAACTGAACATGGTTGTAACACCCCACTGTGGCAAACCACTTCTCCAGCAACACAGAGGGAGTCCTTCAGAACAGAGATGTGAAGCACTGCAGCACCACAGGTTCCCCACAGCTTCCCCCCACCAACAAAGAACTAGTACAAGTCCTGCTGCCACAAAGAATCCTCTGGGAAAGGCAGGAAGACTCAAACTGAATAGAAAGTTGAGTGAGAAATAAACAGCGCTGGGTTGAGAGAGGAGGATTTTGTCGTACTCACGTTCTTTGTCCTTCTCAACCAGAGAAGTGGGTGGTGCAATGGCAGCTCCTCCCATACCTAAGAGCAGAAAGGAAGGCAACAAATTTGGATGACATCACAACAGACCTCAACTACTGACTGTAACTTTGCTGTTAAAAGACAATAAAGCCTAATTTTGTTTATGCAAAGACATATTTCACCACCCTGATCCACATCATCTTGACTGGCTCTGAGGGCACCAAAGTAACAAATGCAGGAATGATGGGCCGAAAACTGAACAGTGATTCTCGTAGCCTGATTTTATCTCCTGGTTCACCCCTTTCCTGGAACCTACACCATGCAGAAACTTAACACAGGTACCTACAAATTAAGGTAAAAAGAGGTCTTCTCACAAATAATTTAGCTGCCATCTGCCTCCATGGAAGAAAAACAATCAGTTTTCTGCATTACAACAGTTATGCTGTAACAAAATGCCAAGTTTATTTTAAAGGCTCAGAAACAACAGCGGACTCATCCGAGGAAAAGAAACACAGAACCCATGAAACAGGAATAAGATTGTGAATTCCCCCCACCCCTCTTTTTTCTCATCCCTTCTTCCCCCATCAAAACCACAAGCAGATCCCTTACTCCTTTTCCGCCTCTCCCTTTCATAATCTTCATCTTCATCAGAATCTGGATCTGGTCTTCTGGAAAACCCACTGGCTTCATGTCTGTCTTTACGTCTTCTAGGAGACACAGTAAGTTAGGATAAGAAACCATCAAAGATAACTCTGTGCCTTAATTTATGATCCCACCTTTGCAGTGTGAATTATTCTGCCCCACTCCAACTGGCATTTTACGATGTTTCCCATGAAGGTGTAAGTAAACACCTTTACTATTTGTTTCTCTGCTTTTATCCTCATGGGGCATTTTTTGGTAAAACACAAGATGGATCTAAAGGAAGATCACCTTCCACTTACAAGTCAGCCAGGAACAATGTATGGAAAGGAGGAAGCACCTGAATAAATCCAGTTCAAAGAGAGGAGAGTTGAGTGAATGACTACAGACATTAATTAATGACTCTGCTCTAGACAAAATCCCTTATAAATTCTCCACCACAGGCTATACAGAGTCTTATCATTTACTCAATTAAAAAAATCATTGTGCTTAAACATCCTTGGAAATTAAATTGAGATTCAGGCATAACTTCTAACATTAAGTGAGGAACTCTTCAAGAATTGTTTGCACTTCAACTGTCATCTAATTTGATCATGAAATCACTCATTTTAATACTTCAGAAGAAAAAGTATTTCCCCCAAAAAGTTAAGAGCATGGCTTGGTGCATAAATCAGATCTCACTCCCAGCACAGCCGTCAGAACTGTGCTTCAGGATGCTGTGGAACCACACAAAATTTCTTAATCTCTACCCTGTGAGTTCAAAACAAATTCTACCAACTTTGTCCTGTGATGAAGATGGCTTATTAATTTCACTTAAATTAAGTAAATATAATCTTCTGCCTGAAGATATTTTACCATTTATTTCAATCAGTGAATCTGCATTCAACTTCTCTAATATAATTAGAAAGATTTCTTACTGCAGGGAAAGGGTATTAAGGTAATCAAAGATAAGCATATCTTCTTTTGTGCAGAGACAAAAGAGTAATAAACACATAATTAACTTACTTAAACTGAAATCAAAGTATTAAGAAAAGGAAATACAACTATTAATCTCAAAAACTGTGCTAGCTACATCTTTAAAACTGAATGCATTCCTAGATCAGTCTGTAGTATTTAGGAGCAGAAAGGATTTTTTGAGTGTTGAAAGGTTTTCCTAAATTCTGGTTACACTGACATCTAATACTATAAAATACCTGCAAGGTCAAAGTCTGACGATGATGCATGAAGTACCAAAATATTGTGGCTATTATTGAAACAAAGTAAATTTAGAATACAGAAATGTCAAGTTTAGAAACGAAAGAGGCTGCAAACTTGATAATTCCTCTAATTGTTCACTGTTACGTGACTTCAGCAAGAGCATTAAAACATATTAATTAAAGCTTGTTTCCACAAGCACAAAGTGTTCTTCACTAAGTCTTTCAGAATTTCCCTGAAATCGTTTGGAGGGATAAAGCTAAACAAACCGATGTGTCTAAGTGTCAATATGCCACGAGTTTACACAGAAGCCTTACTTTTCTCTTTCTTCAATCTCCTTTTGCCTCTCCAGCTCTCGCTGCCTCTGCCGTTCCTCTCTCTGGCGTTTCACCACCTTTTCGTAGTCATTTGGGAACATGGGGTCATACTCATCTGCCAGAGGAATCAACACATCTCCTGCAGAAAAACCGCTAGGGACAGGATCCTTAAAAAAGAAAACAAAAACAAGACTGGAAAAGGAGTTTGTTCAGCTGAGATCTGAAAACACCATCAAGTTGGAAACTAAGAATTAAACACTTCCAATTCCTGACTTCTACAATGGCAGGTAACATCCTAATCCCACTGGGACTAGAAGGAATCTATGCTTCACTTAAAACTAACCTTTCATCCAGCCTCTCATTACCTCACATGAATCACCCCCTCCCCTTGCCAAACACAAAGCAGCAGAAAGATCAGCATGGACAAGAATTTTTCAGCCTCCATTAATTCATTATTACAAGTTTTATGGTCTCTTGCTGTTGCAACCATCTTCCAGGGTCCTCCCACACAATCTCATCAGGCCTTTTCATCAGCTGCTATTAATATGATACCATCAGAGGTACAGGGGCTGAACTTCTCTCATATGAAAGAACTATTTCAAAACTACCACCTTTGAAAAAGCTTCAGGGAGAAAGTTTCTCTGGATTCCTCATCATGAGAAATCCATTTTGAAAGGTCAAGTGGCTCTTCTTTTATTTTTCAGCTGATTGTTTTACAGGTCCAGTTCTGGTGCAATCACAACCAGCCGTCATTTACCTGACCAAACTGGTGTCTTGCCAAGTACTTTGACGGTGTCCAGGAGAAATACTCCAGGAACACTGTTTTATAACTGCAAATTAACCTTGGTAATTCCACGCTGTATCACATGGAAATCTGTATTAAATTGGAATGTTCATTAACTAAAGAACTCTGAGCAGAGGAAGACATTTTCAGAAAACAATCACTTCTTTGACCACTAGGAAAGATGATGAAAAAAATAAGAAAACAGACCGCAGTCAAAGAATTCCATTTCCCAAACATTTCCTAACTTTTTGGCTGCCACAGTCTTACCTTTAACCCGGCTGCTACATGAGGTGGTGTGTCCACGATCTGTCTCTCATCAGAGGAGCTCCCTCGTTTCAGGTCAATCACTGGAGCAAGGACTGTGGTTTGTTTTGTCCTCTGACTCTGCAAAGAACCACCAAAACACAAAATGTCTAAAAAAGATAGAACAGTTTTCTGAAAACCAGCCTGATATACTTTGCAGTGGTAGGTGAGTGGTCTCAGGTTCAGACTAGAACCATGAAAAATTCAGACAATCTCTTCAGATGAGTTTGAACCGAGTCAGGTTGTTGAGAAGGGGCTCAGTTTTATTCCAAAGATCTACTGTTCCTCACATTTATCATCTGATAACAGATATCAATCTATTCTGAACTCTGAGTTTTTTAATCCTATTCTAGTGCAGGATGATTTAAACTTCAGCACTTGAAAGCCTTTTAAAAAGCAGCATGAACTGATGCAAACACGTGAGAAACTGATGCAAAATGGCAAGAATGACCAACAGCCAATAGTGACAACGATCAGTCACAGCATGACCCTTTTTTACTTTTAGAACAAAGAAAAAAGCTTAATCTCATTATATTTGATAGTTAAACCTGCAGATCAGCTTTTGGCTCTGCTCATTAAAAGCTCTGAGGTTTGCAGCACACACATCAGCTCTTCATTCACTTTTAATTTTGCAAGAATCCCTCTAACAGACTTCAAGAAACACACATCTCACCTTTCCTTCCCTCAGTTTTGCTGGTTTCCTTGCTACAAACTCAAAGAAAAATCCCAGCAATATTACCCCAAGTTGGTATTCTAAGGTCACAAACACAAGGCACTGACAAATAATAAGCAATAACCATAAATAATAATAAAGCAAAACCACGAAGGGACTATTACCTTTGCTTGTGTGAGAGCTGCTTTCTTCACCTGCAGCTGAGACTGCAGCAGTTTGAAATTCTTGGACCAGCCTTCTGTTTTAGAGTCGCTGGTCTCAACTCCCAAGTCATCGTAAAGTGACATTTTCTCTTCAATTTAAAACTGAAAGACAAAAGGGAAAAAAACTCTAGATGACACAACAAAACCTATTTCCAGGTTATTTGCTACTAGTTTACATATGCTTGCACACCATATTTTTATATATACTTTTTTCAAAGCCAGGGAAAATTTAAAGCCAGAACATTTTTCTGGCTGGTAGAAAATAATCATAACTACATTAAAAAGCAGGAGTTTGAAAGGCAACGAAAACTGTTCAAGTATTAACAAGTGCTGGAAGCTTCCCAAAATTATGTTTGCACCATTGGGTATCAATCATTTGATGCTCTGAAGGAATTGTGCTGCAGCAAACACTGGTGTTTTGAGGTTCACAAACAAATTCAACATTATGCCTCACGTCCTCCCCAAGACTTCCGAATCACACGCAAATTACCATCTCTGCTAAACTTAAAAACTGCCCACACAAACATGCAAACACTGCAATCAGTCTCTTGAACTTCACTGTTTTTTGCATCATAAAGGGGCAGGTTTTTTATACTAAACAGACTTGCCAGAGTGGTATTAAGTAATAATTTCCACAACATTGAAGGGCTTCTCAAATACAGGGAATTTATATATGCAAATACACACACACACACACATATATATACCTACAAAATCAGGCAGGTAACATCAACAACATGACATGAAATATATCATTTTGTCTGATATTGCATCTGACATGGAGGGAGGGAGAGAAAATCTGAATGTCCTGCGAGGTCTGTCACCTGTGGCACAACCTGTGAGCTCATTATTTAGCCTCTGACAGGTCTGGATTGCAGTACCTTCACCCCAAAACTTTAACTCCTTAATTTACAAGCATCACTGATTAACAGCCTGCACTGAGAGCTTATAAACTCCTCAGGAAGATATTGATCCTAGAGATGTGGCAGGTAATTGGGAGGGAAACTCCAGACATACAGGAGATGGCTGTTGCTGTGGATTTAAGTTATGTGCATTTAAACCTGTGGAAAAAGTCTCAGAGGCAGCAGAAACCGACTAAATTACAACTCCAAAACAAGGCAAGCTCAGCACAAATTAAAAAAAAAACCAAAAACCCCCCAAAAAACCCCAAAAACAAAACCCACAAAACACAACAATTTAATTCTGCAGTGGAATATGAACAATCAGGCCCAGCACAAGGGAGTTAAAAGCAAGAAAAAGTCGGTGGCTGCACTCCCTGGAGATTGTTAAACATAGGGGCACAGGGGATGAGCCACAGGGGGGGTTACAAGGCACAGGGTGAGCACAGGGCACTGCAGGATTCCCACCTGCCACATGGGAGCAGGATTTAGGCAGCAAGAGTGCTGCTCTTCGGAGGGAGACAGGATGCACTGGGAGGGAATCACAGAATCAATTAGGATGGAGAAAAAAACCTCTGGGATCATCGAGTCCAGCCTGTGACCGATCCCCACCGTGTCACCCAGCCCAGACCACTGAGTGCCACACTCGGTCGTTCCTTAAACACCTCCAGGGTTGGGGACTCCACTGCCTCCCTAGGCAGCCCCTTCCAGCGTTTTATCACTCTTTCTGTGAAGTGATTTTCTCCTAATGTTCGATCTAAACCTCCCTTGGCACTGTTTGAGGCTTTGTCCTCTCATCCTGTCCCTTGTTCCTGGGGAGCAGAGCCCGACCCCCACACCCCCGGCTCCCACCTCCTGTCAGGGAGCTGCAGAGCCAGAAGGTCCCCCCTGAGCTTCCTTTTCTCCAGGTTAAGCCCCTCCCCAGCTCCCTCAGCCGCTCCAGGCCCGTCTCCAGCTCCGTTCCCTTCTCTGGACAACGATGGACGGATGCGGGCAAGATGCTGTCACCGCGAGGAAGTGACAAGGGAGCTGCACCTGGGCTCAAAGAAAGGCTGGGCTGCAATATCTTGGATTTTCAGTCCTCTGCGAACACAGAGACCGAGACGGGGGGGGGAGCAGGCCCTGCCCCCCCCCCCCTCCACTCCACGCTCCATACAGGCCACGACCCCTCCCTAGGGTCGCTGCGGGGGGGACACCCAACCTCCTCCCGCCGTGTCTTGCCTCCTCACACCCCGCGGGCTCCGGTGCCGCCTCCCCACAGCCCAGGCTGGAGCCGGGCCCGGACCCGCCGCTCACCCGTCCCGGCGCCGCCGCCGCCATGAGCCGGCGCTGAGGCCGCCGGGAAGGGCCGCCCCGCGCCTGCGCAATGCGCCCCGCGCCGCCGCCGCCGCGCTGCCGCCCCCTGGCGGCGGGAGGAGGGAGCGGCACCGCCGACCGTTCCATATACACAGTCCCAGTATAAACCAGTACGGGGCACTCCGTCCCAGTATAAACCACTACGGGACCGAGGAGGGAGCTCAGAGCCCAGGGGAGGTGCGGGATGTGGTCCCCAGGCGAAGGCTGCTCCCCCCTCAGCCGCCCCCGCCTCAGGGCGCCCTCCCCTCCCTCCCCCGCCCTCAGACCTCGCAGCGCGTTGTGTTGGCGGAGAGAACCCAAAGAGGAATAATGAACCCCGAATTCCTTTGGGTTTCCGCAGCGCTCATGGCGTGCGATCTGCGTTCTCATAAAGTCACAGGGTGGTTTGGGTTGGAAGGGATGTTAAATACGGAATCATCCAGTTCCAACCTCCTGCCACGGGCAGGGACATCTCCCACTATCCCAGGCTGCTCCAAGCCCTGTCCAACCTGGCCTTGAACACTTCCAGGAAAGAGGGATCCACAACTTCTCTGTGCAACCTGTTCCAGTTCCTCACCACCCTCACAGTCCAGAATTTCTTCCCAGTGTCTCATCTAACCCTGTCCTCTTTCAGTTTACAGATGTTCCCCCTCGTCCTATCAAATGAGATGGAAGTTATTCCTCTTGCAGCCTGCACATGATGTTCATCAGGTCTCTACGGTGTTCTCTGCAATAACCCTTTTAAAGGAGGTGCACGGGACCACAGAGATAGAGACAAACAATAATAAACACAAAGTAAAGTTTGTTTGGGCAGGATGGTTCAATGCCAAACAGCAAATATTTTCGGATGCTCCATATAGCTCACGTAAAGAAAGACACTTCAAATCCCATTGGCGACAGCAATAACAAACCCCTCTTTAGTCCCATGCTCAGAAATTGAATTTCTGTTAAGGACTTTTCAGATCTAAGAGCCCGTGTTGCTGCTGAGGAGGGAAGAAATATAATTCCAGCTGAACTGTGAGGATCTGGAGAAACAGAATTGAGCGTAGAGATACGTCTCTGCAGTATGATGAGCTGCCATTGACCCTTATTTAGCTGGAGCTATACTGGAGTTTGATTTAGGAATTCAACTGGCAGAGGGCAGGACTGTATTTATGGCCAACACTATTTTCCCTGTATGTTATATAACAATTTTCTGCAGCGTTTCTAACATCTTGAGAAATCTGTGGTAGCTTATTGAACGAGTAATCTGATGTCTTGTCTCTTTGGGCATTTCAGCATTTCCAGTTACTTAACAAGCATACCTTAAATCTGGAGGGAAAAAAAGGGGGACAATAATATGAGACTCCTCTGACAACGCAGTTGTACTGTGAAAATGAGGAAGAAAGAAAACTTCTTTCTTATCAAGTGTATTTCAAACATCCCTGTCTTATTCAGTCATGTTTGTTGCCATCACTGCCACTAATACTGAGGTCACTGCGTAATTGCTGTTGCACCATATTTAGCTATTTAGAAGTATTTATTGCATTATGTCATTTGGGCCTAAAGACTGGTTTGGTCTGCAGAAATGATTTTTGTTTTCTGAAGCAATCCTTAAAATTCTGTGCCTGCCTGAGCCTGGATGTTATCCAGCCACAACAGTTTCCCAGCCCAACCTTTTGCACCAATTATTCAATGTCCTCTCTTTGACAGTGGCAAGGATGGATTTTCTTTTTTGCTCATATTGTGCAGGTGTATCTCCAGCTCATACCAAGCATTTCAAATCAGGTGAGATGAACTTTCTAAGAATTTTGGCCGCTTGCACTGCATGAAAAAGCAGATAAACATGCAAGACTGTCTGCAAAGCCAAGCACAACCTCCAACTCCAAAGCAGATAGATCTGGCACTTCAACCTCAAAATATTACAGACTCTATCTCTATATGAATCAGAAAGTCCTTATCTGCAGCATTGCTTTTGGCTATGGTACTATGCACTTTATTTCCCCATGGGGAGCTGGAAAAATGGTGCTAGTAAGTAAAGCTGCTACTTCCCCTCCTACTTATGCTGCTTTTTATTAACACAATCTTCCTGAACATGTTACAGATATGTCTGTTTCCATAATAGCAGTGAAAGCTTCTTAAATACCAGAAGAAATTGTTTTCGCTTTATTTATGGAGGATCTCCCAAGTATTTTCCTTTGGTTTCTTGCATTAGCAATGCCTGCAGATTTTAAAGGAAGGATGGATATAATTCACAGTCTGTAATCTTGTGGAAGAAAAAAAAAATCAGCAAGACACTAATTTTACAGTGTCAGAATCCCATTAAGAAAAGAACTGGTGTCCTATGTTAAAGGAAGACTTCAAATAATTAATTGCATCAAAAGGTACTGAGATAAATCACTGTGGATTGAAATGTCACAGAGCAATAGCACAGAATGACAGTGACTGGATGAAACTAAAAGGAGGTTAGAGTCTGCAAAGGTGGAAAACATGGCAACAGCAGGAGATTTCAGTTCCTCCTTGGAACAAGTCACTACAGAGAGGGCAAAGGCTGAGTTATTAGACACATAAATAACTACTATTAAAGCTATGAATCAGATAATTCACAAGACGAGAAGCAGCTCTTGGTCTGGAAAGTGCATTAGGCATGGACCGAAATTGATCCATCACTGTTTGTGATAATAACCACCATGTACTTGTACACACCCATTTAGGGGCAAAGGAGCCAACAGAATCCTGCTCATTAAATTCAGGAAGGCTGCAGGCAGGTAGAGAAATCTCACCCAGCTGCCAAATCTGGAGGTCTGAGGTAGACTGGAAATGGAGGAAAAATTGGTGAGGTCACCCCCAGCACTGCACACTGGTTTGTGTCTAAAATCTCCTTTTCAGCTATATCTGCCAAGGTGGGACAGCACTGGCCAGCTGTGTGCCTTCAACAGACCCTCGATGGTACTGAAATCTGATCTTCCAACTATCTTTATTTTTTTCGGTTAGGATTTTAAACCTTTCCATCTTGGTGCTTTTCCTCTTGAATCCCACTAACGGTTGCTGTATCAGCAGTCCTACCTCTGTACCTGCCTTTCTTATCTCATGCGGCCCTGTCTGTACCTTTTCTTGCAGCTCTTTCTCCCAACTTAGCAATTTTCCCATCAGTTCGAGGGGAGTTTGGTGCAGCTGGGTCTCCTGAACTCATGGGAGAGGAGAGGAGGGGGATTATGGAGATGAGGTTACAGGCAGGATGGAAAAGCTCTGAATAAACTCCCAATTTTCCCACTGTGAGAAGACCCACCAGCCATGATTGGGAGCCCTCGTTGTGCTAACAGGCAGCCTGGAAAAGGTGAACAGCCAAGGTGATAAAATTTGCTGTGGATCCCAAATTTTTCAGAGTAATCAACCAAAGGCTGAAAGGAAGAAGTTGCAGAGGGATGGTGTGACGCTGGCTGGGTGATGAGATGGCAGATGGGACCCAGAGCTAATGAATGCAAAGCAATGCACGCAGGAGAAAATAGCACTAACAAAACACACACAGCAGCAGGCTCTAAATCAGCTGCTTCCATTAAGGAAAGAGATGCTGCATTCATTGTGGATAATTTTCTAGAAATGCCTACTCAGTTCTCTGAAGGAAGCAAGGAAGCAAACAGGCTGCTAGGAAGCATTAAAATTTTAAAAAAGGGGAAAATATCCTCACAAATCCAACAAGCACAAGCACCTTTGAGTGGCCACCTGCACTCCTGGGCATGTCATCCCCTCCAAGAAGCAGCAGTGCAATACAAAAACTCAAACAAATCAGATGTGTTGGGTGAAAAGAAGCAGTTGAAGGGGACCCTGAAAGCATCAAGCACCCAAAATGGTACAGAAAGGTAAACGAGGAGTTCTCATTTTTCTCCCTGATGGTGATCTTCAAGAAGGTGTAAAATGAAGCAATGACGAAGAAAAAAAACAAACCAACAAAACAACAAAACCCCAAAACCAACAAAAACAAGAACAAACCCACAAAAAAGTCAGCCTGTAAAAGCCTCATTTATTATAATTTCCCTGAAGCATCAAGAGCAGTTTTTGGTGGACGTGGATCATTTGTACTACGTTACAGACCCCCTTTGAGGGTGAGGGTTGCTAATATGCCATAATGGCATTAGAGGGCAGTGCACAGCAAGCTAACTGGAGCTTTTTAAGGTGGCAATCGCGGTTGTGGGAAACCACCCCTCAAAACCTCTGAGCATCAGGAGAACAGAGCAGCTCCCACTCACACAGGTGGGAAATGGTGGGGACCACAATGTGACACGAAAGCGAAATGTCAGGACTGATGAGAGCACTTGATTTGCCTTTTTTTTTTTTTTTTTCTCCCCAGAAAATACTTGCTTGATTATCATTGTCATCTTCCCAATGATCTTCAGCTTTGCCCATGTGGCAAAAATGAAATATGAAGAGGAAATGCCAGGGGAAAATTCATCATGGCTTCAGAGGACTGACTTAAGTTTGCTGGCTTGAAAAACTTCTTTATGAAGCAGCAATCTGAAAGAACTGAAAATAGTTAGAAAGGCATTTAAATTATTCATTCTTCTGCTAAGGGAATAGCTTAAAATGTGACTTTGAAAGCAATGATGGAAATGGTGTCTTTTTGCCATATATAGAATAACCCAAAACCCCAGAAAACTGTGGGTTTATTTTTCACTTATGTTACTTATTTCACATTTCTACCTAGTTTCATACTTTGGCTGAGTTTCATAACTAAAATGAGTAAGAAATCAGAACAGAAACATTTCATCACAGATGAAGTTTCCGATACACATATTTCAATATATTTGATCACAACTAAAGGAAACTCCGTTTCTACTGACACTGCGTGGTGGAGTGTTTTTGTTTGGCCAGCAGTGGGAAAAAAGTGTCAATAAATGAGGAAGTGGACATTTTGTCCTACTGTCACCGTCTCAAGCTAGTTTGAAGAACTGAGAAAACATGTGAAAACGTAACAGTGTAAATATTTCATATGACTAGACTCAGTACAGATGGGATGTTTGCCATCACTGAGAGAAAAAAAATGGTTGTGCTGCTCTGCTAGGGGAAGGATTTGCATAAGAAGTTATTCA